ATAGCCTATCCTTAAGTCGGCTTTCTTTTTGCTATGTGCATAAAGTAAGCTATATGGAAAATAATTTTGGAACTACTGATGGTGTACCAAAAAAGGGTTTAAACTATGATTTTCAAAAGTTAAACTCTTTTACGAATTTGTGAGGTTTACTGGACTATGATTTGTTTAATGTACCTATTGTGATTTTATGGTAATGTTGGGACACACTGAGCCTAGCTCACCTTTCGAAAATGTTTTTCCCCTTTCAGATACTGTTGGTTAGATACCTCGGTTCGAGCACTTAGAGGATCAACATATCTCTTGAAGTATATCTGATTGTAATATTTTAAACTTGCAAGTTGACTTTATTCTGGTGATATGGACCTATTTTAAAGTATTGGATTTTATAATGATGATACTTTTGCTATTACTATTCAGTTTATCGTGGTTTTGATTTTTAAGATATGTTTTAAATTAATTTAGTACTGATTAGTTTTATATTTAAGAGATGAGTTTTAATAGTATAATTTATTATAATTTCATGTCATGAATAATGTGGTTTTACATTGATTGGATAACGGTTTTGGAAAATGTCTTTGTGATCCACTAGACTTAGTCGAAACGCATAGGCCGGGTCTAGGGGGGTTACAAATAAGGTCAAGTTATACACATGGGTATCATACAATTCATGTAAAAAAATGTCATACGATTCGTAGATAAAATTCTCATACTTATACATATCAAAAAATATCAACATGCAAAATAAATATGACAACTAATTGAAGAAAGTAATCCTCACAATGGACTATATTAAAATAAATCCCAAACATACACAGGACTAAAAACTAACATGCAAAAAATTAATGGTCAAATGTCTAAAACAGTAAAAATTAAATACAATAACAGTTGGTATTGAAATTAAATGCGTATAAAATAAAGAGACAAAATTATAATATGTAAATATTCGATTTGAGGACCAAAATGAGTTAAAAAATGAAATAAGATGACCATTAGCTTAAATAACCCGAAAATTACAACTAAAACTTAAATTTGGAAAATAACTAAATCAAGACAAAAAAAGAGTAAATTCGAAATCGGACCCTACAGGTTACTAAAGTGTAAATAAACGCTAAACCTATGAGGACTAAAATCTAATTATATCCTAAAGCTACGATGGTTAAACACTAATTAACCCTAACGTTTTAATATATAACCTAAACTCAAATAAACCTAAACCAAACACACTAAAGTAGACATTCAGTTGCATCTCTCCGTCACTCAAGCCTCCCTCTTTTCTCACGTACGACCGAGACTCCAACAGCCCTAGAACATAATCGGCCACCGTTCCACCACCTTATTTCGGTGGTAGCTCGTCCCTTCGACCGCCGTTCAATCACCGGGTAAGGCCCTAAACCAACGCTAGCTCCTAACTTCAACAAAATCTCAACCCAAAGCCACCCCGAGCGTATACTGACACCGTTAATCGGCGGTTGTCTACTCAATGGTCACCATATGCAGTGGCCATCAAACCTAAACCCAACCTAGGACATCCCCTTTGAATGGCCAAAATACCTCGACCGCTCAGTTTCCAACTCCGACGACGTTTTCCAACGACTAAGGTGAACGAACTAAACCCCTTTTTTTCTTTGATTTACTATTTATTTCGAAACAAATCACACACACACACTAAAAATCGAAAATGGATTAAAAATACCTCAAGAAAATTGTTCTTCCTCTTTTCTATTGTTTCTCGTCTGGGCGTCCTCCTCTCTATATTTATTTTTGGATGAATATATTGATTGCTTGATTTGTTTCAAATCAGAAGAACATTTTTTCAAAGCTTGATGGCTATCTATAAAAAATATACTGTTTTCTTTCCATATTTTGTATTGATTGAAGCAAAGAAACAAGTTCCCGATTTTACAGAAGAATCATGGATGCTTCTCAAAAGAGAAAAAATAAAAGTCTCTTCTTCCCCCTTCGAATGGTTGCTCCCTATACCCTTAAACAAAGGTTAAGCTGCCCCCTTACACTGCTTGATTTCTCTCGGGTAAATTGCTGATCGCCAATGGTTGGTAGTTTCTCCCTGGTTTTTGTTGCCTCCTTAATCAAAAAAATGACCTCCCCCACCTCCCATTATCTAATGCGGTTTTCTTCCCCTCCATAACCATTTTTGTTTGCACCCCTCATAACTGTTTTTGTTTTCCAGGGAATCTTGTCGGAATTACTCACGTAGATTGGAAGGACCACAAGAGCTGCTGGCCATCCTTCGACTGAGGACGTGGCGATCCTACTCATAAACAGCTGCTGATGATCATTGGGCTTAAGATGGGCCTCCATCTGGTTTGGGTCAGGAAATAATAGGTCTTGTAACATAGCTTGGGATTTGGACCCAAATTAGGTATTTGTAATAGCCTACAAAATAGAAAAATAATAAATTAAATTAATATTTAATAATTATAATTATAAAAATAAAAACAATAAAAATTCCGAAAAAAACGGTTGACTACAGTATAAATAAAGAAAAAACATGTTTTATGCAATGGTACATGATAATAAGTAATAACAAAAGAGTTCTAGAAGCCACAATACCATTTTACAAAATGCAAAACAACAAGAAGCAGAGACTGTAATTGTCACTGCCAATGTTTACACCACAAAAACAGGCAACATCACAAATTTCGACTTAGCTTCCCCACCCTATATGTGATACTCCATGGAAAAATCAATAGCAGCTTACCAGCAACAAAAATAAATTGCATCAAGGCCTGAAACTTTAGAAGAAGAAAAAAGTTCAAAATACAAGGCTTTAATCAGCAGACAACTCTTTCCGCTTCAACTCTAGTGTCATTCATTCATCTCAAGCTTCATCCTCTCATTTTCCATTCTCATCTTGTCCAGTTCACGGTCCCTTCTCTTACTAAATCTCTGCCACTTGAAACGTTGTTTCTCCAGCTCCACCTGAATTTGCAGTTTCTTTTCTTCAAGCTGTAGTGTGCGAGACTCTATCCACTGCTTCTGCATCCAAGCATCTCTTGAATAATCAAGCAGAGCTTGGTTCGCATTTGCTTGCGCGACTGATGGATAAGAAAAAGAATTATTGTGGCAGTGCTGGGAGTTCAAAAGGTTCTGGAAACAAGAATCTTTATGGACTTGGCTTTGTCTTGATTTCTTAGTAGAGATCCCTGATGCCCCACATATCACCCTGTTATCCCCATGTGAAGCTGATTCTCCTGAAGCTCATCATGATCATCAGTTTCCATGCCATGGTCATCATCATCAAGAAAGTCATTTTGGTGCCTCCTTGCATCATCATTCTCATTATTATCTATACTTCTGAGAGCCAATTGCAAGGAACGTTGTAATTGTAGATCATGAGGCAAATGCAATATATTCCCATTGTGATAAGAACACATCTCCTCGTAGAAAAGATGCTTTGAGCTTAAAATTTTCCTAACATCATCCTTCTCTTTCTCTGTTAAGTAATTTATAAGACCCAAAAGTGTGGATTCTCAACAACGTGACAAGAAGTGCCCTTAATGATAGATGGGCTCTTTGTATATATATTTTTATATGAAAAACCTTCACAGGTTCAATGTGTGGGACGGATGGGCTCCATCTTCCTCTCTTTCTTTTCTATACTTTATTTATTTGTACATTCATTTCCAGTTTTTTTTTTAACGCTAATAAAATAATTTTCCTTCCCAATTTGTACTTTGACTACGAAAATGAAGTTAATCGAATTGGTTACATTTCAATTAAATTAGATTAGATTAATTAGATTCAAGTTGACTTTTTTGGTTGTGAAAAAGGAGGTATCTAGCTAAAACAAACTAAGCAATAGTTACGCCTTCACTTCGAACCCTGTTTAGAATTTCTCCTGGCGGGTGAGTGAAACTCTTGTAGTTGATTTGGGTCTTCCATGCTATTTTGAAGGGTGAGTGAAACTCTTGTAGTTAACTTTGAATACAAGTTTTCGGCTTTTATCAAGAATATAAGGTTTTGAATTGATGTGAACTTGAATATGGGATTACTTTACTGTATGGCGACTAAAGCTAAAGTTAATTTATAGTGAGTTTTAATTCAAAACGTTATTTTTGTCTTATCTAAAAATGTTTTGCAATTGGTAATAATAACCGAAAACGTTACATTAAGACGGGTTTATACCTAAAATATTATTTGTTTATCCTAAAAAGTTCACAATTGGTAATAATTTCGGTTACAATCGAGAATGTCTTAATAGAGAAGGCCACGAGACCCGACCCAATCATGTTAGATTTTTTTAAGAAAAGTCGGGTCCGGGTTGGGTATGAATTTAGGGTGGAAAAATATTATAAAAATACCTTATATATTTAGAGATAATTACAAGAATACATCTATTTTTATTATTTTTCAATTAAGTCCCTATTTATTAAATAAAATTAATATTTTTATATTATTTCGAGTTAGATCGGAGTCGGGTTTTATCTCAAAAGTAGGGTCGGGTTTCGAGACAGATGGAATTACACTAAACTCGGGTAAGGTCGGGTTCCAGGTAGAGGTATAAAATTTTTGGGTCGTCGGAAACCCGACTCAACCTGACCTATGCCCATCCCTAGTCTTGACAATAACATTTTAGGCTATTATCAAAATAGTTATGCAATTACATGAATTATCATGAAAAACATATTATTTCTAGTTTTAATTTAAAATGTTACCCGATTTGCTCTAAAAGATTAAACTCTTGATAAAATTTTCGGTTACAACTGATTTCTACCTTTTTCGAGCCTTATATTAACAATTACATTTTACACTCATCCTGAATATGGTGAGTTCAAGAGCAGAGAAATGTTATGGAAAATTGGAAATGACTTCAAGGTGGGCTGCATCTACATGTGCCATTTTCCTTTAATGTTTGTTTGTGCAACGAAGTATAAGATAAGTGAGAATGTAGGAAAGCAAATAATTTTGCCAATATAGTTGAAACTTGAATGCTTTAGCCATCAAAATTTTGTTCATCCACAATGAAAAAGCTTCATTTCGATCACACACTTTATATCAAGCTATAGGCCTTAATCTTTTGAAGGAATAGAAACGGATTATTTTCTATATAAAACATTGGTTCCTGCAGTGACTTTATTAACAGACCAAATGCTGGCCCTCTGCAGCTTTAAGAACCGGAAGCCTTACCCCTTGGAGATGGACCGGATGTCTGAGCGGATCCATCGGGTCTTTGAGGGCAAAACACTATATACACATCTTCATTTGAATCTGTTTGCAGATGATAAACATGCTGGCCGGCGGCATAGCCTCCAAGGAGAAGATATGACCTCTCCGACTGCTCCATTGTCATACATAGATCATCACCACCTGGTGTGCCAAATGTTTATAGTAAATCATTGTGTATATATATAAAGGAGGCATAATTATAAAAAATAACCCTTAATATTTATTAGAGTAATTATTTTAGTTCATATATGTTTTCAGCATTTTAACTTCTAACATTTCATTTTTTTTTGTTTAAAATGGTCTATGTTAGATGGAAATTATTAATTGAATAATGATCAACGAATGTTGTTGAAGTGATGTTTTCACATATAATTAAGAGAAAATAACCTCAGTGACCAAAAATACCTTATAATATACGATTTTAACCAACTTTTTTTGGATTTGCCAAAATGACCAACTAAATCGCAATGCGATCGATAATTCGCAACGCGATCTCCGGTATCGCAAATTAGTTTCCAGATTCGCAACGCGATTCTGACTATCGCATTGCGATTTCCCAAATTCGCGTTGCGATTTTCCTAATTCGCAATGCGAATACGTAAATCGCAATGCGATTACGTAAATCGCAATGCGATTACGTAAATCGCAATGCGAATTAGAAAAATTGCAATGCGATTACGTAATCGCATTGCGATTTACGTAATCGCAACGAGATTCTGACTATCGCAATACTGAATTTCAAATTCGCAACTCGATTTCTGAATTCGCAACAGGTTTTAATTTCGCAACACAAATGTTTTGGGTATATAAATACGCAGCAGTAGCAACTCATAACCTAAATCCCTAAATTGCAACTCATTCCATCTCCATCTATCACTCTCTCTGGCAACACCCGTTCCTATATCCAACGACATCTTTCCCCATCCGGCAACAGGTTTTAGTTTCGCAGCTCGTTTGTTTAGTAAATTAATTTACAATAATGAAATCATCTAATGTTGATCATGTTTGGATAGATTTGTGTTTTGGAGGGTCATGGGAGAATGTTCATGGTGTTTTACAATATATGCCTTTACCCATGAATCTTCAACTAAAACTGTCATTAAAAAAGTTAACTTATGAAACTCTAATGTTACGTGTTGCAAATAAATTGAATTTAGAGCCCCTAAGTGGATTTAGGCTATCTTATCAGAGAAATGGTAAAGTTTATTTGTTAACCGACAATGAAGATGTTGAACTATTCATTGCTTACATTAGTGTTTCAAGTGATGATGTTACATTGTATGTTGTTGAACCTAGAAGTAGTGAAGTTGGGTCAGTAGCGGGTAGTAATCAACTAAGTTTTTCAACCCCAGTTTATGGTGCTCAAAATTTAATGGTTCCACCACAATTTCATCACCAAGCAATATTGTTTCACCACATTTCCAATACCAAACACAATCTCAAAACCCACACCTTTCCCTAATCCAAATCCAATCAACTTTCAGCACCAAATTCCGGTTTTCGTATTGACCAGTTAGACGATGATGAGCCAACAAAAATTTGTGAGTACTAGTCAGTATTCGAAATTTGATCTTGGTCATACCCGGACTTTGATCTTGGTCATACTCAGATTTTGATGATTTTTCAGAAGAAACAGACCATGCATGTAATGATTTTGATATTGGTCAATACTCGAATTTTGATGATGAAACAGCCGTTGCCGAGGAAGATATTATTGATAATAATGAGGAGGAAGTTACGACTGTAAATGAACATGTTGAACATCCATTCTGTAATTCATAACACTGAAGAAGAAAAAGAAGAAGAAAATCCCCAAAGAAAAGTCCCTGAAGAAAATGCCACGAGAGTATAACTGGAATATACCAGAATTACTCAGATACCGGAAGAAGAGTTGGTAAAGATAGCAGTTGATTGTCACACAAAAATTATTCGTATCAAGAAAGATGATTGTTTTGATACAAAGTAAGACTAGAAGATAGCTTTGTATACGAAATGTGTGGAAGATGGCTATCAACTAAAAGTTAACAAATCAAGCAAAGATCGTTTCGAAACAAGGTGTATGATTGACAAAAACTGTATGTGGCGTATGATTGCAAAGAGGATAAAGATTGCGAATGTTTCAAGTTAGGACTTTTATTGATAAACATACATGTTCAAGAACCCAAATTTTTCCTCACCATAGACAGGCAACAAAAAGGTGTTGGGTGGTTTTCTGGCTGAGTTAATTTTTTGAATGGTAGGGTATATCGGGGACATGAAATTATGACTGACATGAATGCTCGGTTCAAGATTAGTATCTCATATTCTCAAGCTTGGAGAGCCAAATGTTATGCCTTGGAATTGTTGAGGGGGTCGCCAGAAGCATCGTTTGCCCAACTGCCGGCTTATTGTCACAATTTAAAGCTGAAAAATTCTGGGTAGGTAACTCATATCAAAACATATAGAGATGGACGCTTTGAGTTGCTGTTTATCGCCATTGGTGCTGCGGTTAGTAAATCAATATAATTTTGTTGACTCATTTTTGTTAGTTACATGCATTTCACATTTAAATGATTATATTTCTTGTGTATATGATTTTGTAGATTCGTTCGTTTATTAATTGCATGCGCCCAGTTATTATAGTTGACGGAGCATTTAAAAGGTCGATACCTTGGAGTAAACTTATTAGCAGTAGCCTGGATGCTAACAATGGGATACTGCCAATAGCTTACGGGTTGGAAAATCTGAAACCTCTGATTCATGGACATGGTTTATGGGGCATCTTAGGGATTGCTAGGTCCTATTAGCAATCTGACAATCATATCCGATAGGGAAAACTCAATTGACAACGCTGTTAGAAGGTGTTTCCAGATGCTTTTCATGGACTTTGTGGTGTTCATTTGTAGAAATCTAAAATCAAGGTCTGCTGGTATAAAAATCACAAGTGGACATACTAGAAGGCTGTAAATGCTTATCGGGAAGTGGATTTTAATAAGCATATAAAGTGTTTAAGACGTGTTTTGTCTCAGTGTGCTCAAACACTAGAAGATGTCGGGTTGAAAGATGGTCAAGAGTACATCAACTTGGAGCAAGATATGGTTTCATGACGTCTAATAGTGCAGAATCAATCACGCTCTAAGTCGTCATTCCCGAAATTACCCATTACTATGTTAATGGAGTTTTTTCGAGCTTCTATTCAACAGTGGTACTACAAGAAAAGAAACCTGCAGGTATTATTTCTTTAAATTCGTAACTTATCATATATTTTACTAAGTATTTTTATTTAAATTTACAGGACATTGGAACATCGTGTTACCATGGACAGAAAAAAGATAACGAAACGTGTTGTGAAGTCACGTCATGAGAGTTGAACCATGTTCAAACACTTTGTTTGAAGTACTGGATAATAACTTAATGGGCTTGTCGATCTAAATGCAAAGACGTGTAGTTGTATGAAATGGCAAACATCTGGTTATGTGGCCATGTTATAAAAGTTTCTCTTCATCTAAACCAAGATGATTCAAGCGCATACGCTATGGATTGCTACACTACAGAAGTATATCGACAGACTTATGGTGAGATTGTATACCCTATTCCACATCCTTCTGAGTGGGACATACCAGATGACTTACAAATAGTTTTGCCACCAGCCATGGACAGAAGGCTACCTGGCCGACCAAAAAGTCACGATTGTATACCGTCTAAGGGTGAAGAGAAGAAGAGATTGACATGTATTCGGTGCAAGGAAAGTGGTCATACAAGGTTGACATGTGGATCACCAGTGCCATCACAATAATCTTTTCCTCTACCAATATATGGATCCTCATCAAAATCCAAAGCTCATATGGTGTCAAGCAAAAGGCAATCAAAATCGCAATCATCTTTAAAATCCCAATCACAACCGGCTTCACCTTTTGGGACTGTTAACTTAGGTGATTTTTAAATGCAAACGTTGTATTATGTGGATTTTATGTGTGAACTTTTAACATTTTTAAATGCATGTATTAGTAACTTGAGTTTGAAAATTGCTATGATCTGTTCAGTTGTTATCACTTATTAGGCATTCATTTGACTATCGCAACACGGAAATGACGTTCGCAATCATCTTAATGTCTATCGCAACGCGGAAATGACTATCGCAATACGAAATGAAAATCGCAACGAGAGAATCGCAATGCGAAATGAAAATCGCAACGAGAGAATCGCATGCGAAATGAAAATCGCAACGAGGGAATCGCAAAGCGAAATGAAAATCGCAACGCGAATTTAGTTTCGCGTTGCGATTTTAGTTTCGCGTTGCGATTTTGTCGTTGCGATTTTCATTTCGCGTTACGATTCTCTCGTTGCGATTTTCATTTTGCATTGCGATAGTTATTTTTGCCTTCACATAATGCAGATTGAAATCAACAAATCAACCATTACATTTCAATCAATTAACAAGCACAATAAGAATTATGTTCACATCAATTAAACAAATCAACTTTACAAATCATCTTTTACAAATCAATTAAACAATCAAAAAATAAGCAATAATTCTTATTCCTCTACTATTGAATCAACTTTTCAGCCATACATCATTTTCACGCAGCTCACTTCTGAGATTAACCTGCAGAAACCAAACATTTGCTCAAACAACACTTTCTACACATCTAAAACCTACAAACAGCAAATTATTGAATTCTAGGTACTTAACCAAACATTTTAAAACCACAAGCCTATAAACTTATCAATTATTTATGGATATTTTTATAACGCGGATGCAGGTAGGCAGCGTCTCGTATATATCGATCTAGCCATATAATGCCGAAACCACAAGCCTACTGTAGCTCTATCTCTATCGGTGGGAGGTAGATACTTTATACTTCCTGTGATCAAACGCTCCAACGCCAAGCATACGAGAGGACCACAATCCCCTCTGGATCCTTTCGTTTGTTGTGGTGCGGTCTCGTCTCTGCTAACTGTAATATTGAGCTTCTTTGGCTTCTTGTTTCCAGAACGAGTCCAATAATTTATCGCATCCAAGAATTTAGCCAAATGAGAGCTCCATCCCTTAATAATATCTCTTAAATCAGCCAATGATATGTAATTTATCATGTTGTCATATACTATTGCCTTAAGGGATGGGAGCTGAAGCTCGACGATAAGCCAATGTTTACGTTCCA